AAACTTTCTTTTCAATTCTTTGGACATAAAGGCATCTTTCACATCATTAACATAAATTGTAGCTCTACCATATAACATAGTATCTACAAAATTCTCATATAAACTAGGTAGTGAACACAATAAAATTTGGGCTTGATCTTCATCATCTACTTTAACCTCAACCCCTTGAAGATCAAGAATGATACGGTTAAAGGTATCAAGATGATCCTTTACCTGAGTACTTCCGGACATCCGGAGGATGTAAAGCCGTTGCTTCTGATATAGTCTGTTCGTGAGAGAGTTGCTTTGGTACTTTTCACACAGTTTATTCCATAACCCAAAAGCCGTTGTCTGATCTACAACCTCCCGTAACACCTCATCAGTAACTGACAACAAGATCGCGGAATGAACCATTGCCAAAATCTCCTTATTTACCTCCTCATTCGTATATTTAGGAAACGTTTCTTCTCCCTCCAACACAGCCGCACATCCTTGTTGAACCAGAAGTGTCCTTATCTTGACCTTCCAGAGCCTGAAGTCATTCGACCCATTAAACTTCTCCAGATCAAACTTATACGAGGAAATCTTCAATCAATGAGATATGGCTCTGATACCACTTGTTATGAGACAACGAGAAAGAAAGCAAATAAAGAACACAAAGGTTTTACGTGGTTCGGTGATGGTGTGTCAACCTACGTCCACGGGCAGGAATCGGAAAGATTTTATTATACTGATTCAGAGATTTAAAATTATGTCATCTGATTAAGAACCATAGCTGTCTAATTATAAGCATCCCAAAACACCATAAAATCTAAGCCTATTTGTTATTAATTAAGATAAACCCAAAAGGAACCTTGCCAATTGAAACAACCATTTCGCTTTAGTTTCGGGTTGGGTAGACCGCTAAATCAAAGTCACGTTTCAACAGTAAATTTAGAAGCTTTTTTCAATCCAAGCATTGTAATTCCTCTAGTTTTAAGTAGATAGAAACAACGTGTCGGTTTAGAGATACTATTTAGATTTTATAAATAGGACTTAATATAATCATTGTAAACCAGATTCACACATCTCAATCAAAATTATCATTTCTTTTATTTCGTGTAATTTATTTTTAATTTTTTGTATTATTTTCTTTTTCCCTAATTTCTTACTAACAAAAGCTTAGGCACTGTGTTTCGTACGAATTAAAAGTTTAAATACTCTAAATCTTTCATAAAGAAGCCCTTGGTTATTATTCGATTGAAAAATTGCAACCCATGGTAACATAAATATATAATATAGTTATTATTTTATAAATAATAAAATTTTATATAATCAAATAAATTTTAAAAAAAAATTTATTTATGATAAACATAAATAAATTTTATAAATATATAAAATGTATATAAATATATTTATTTATTAAAAAGAAATATAAATAAAAAATTTTAAATAAATTTTTAATGAGTCTCATATAATATAATATTTTAAAAAAAGTTGAGAGAATAGTACTAAATTGAGTCAAACTGTAACCAAATAAATCCTAAAATATTGGTTTAATTGCAATTTCAAACTCAAATAACGCTATTGTTATCGTTAAAAAATTACCATCCACGGCTTAACTAAAAAAGCCTGTCGAAATTGATTTATTCGAAGGATTCCCTTGCCTTCTAAAAAAAGAATCTGAGTTATCTCTGATCAAATAATTAATGTGGCGAGAAGACAAAAAGTAAAGCTGATAATACAAAGAAAATGCTATAAATTGAAATTAAAGAAGCTGAAAATTAATGGAAAAGATTGTAAAAATTAATTTTGTTATAGGAGAAAAATACATAGAAAAAATTGCAAGAAATTATTACGAAGAAGATGAATATGATCGCGTGCTCAATCTATAATGTAATTTTGAATCCTGTTATTTTCTTTTTAGATAAAATCTTTCATCTTTATTTTTCTCTAACAACCTCAACTCTTTTTTCCACCATCTCTCACCAGGTCTTTTGCCTCTTCTGCTTCCACTAGGCTAGGCTGCTTCTCCATTTTTGTCGATCTGGCCGGCTAAGGTTAACCGGGTGTTGGGCCGTAGGATAAACTATTTTTAGTCATATTTTTTATTATTTTAGCACAATAATTAAAACTTATATACATTTGATAGCAAAAGTTTGACAAAAATAATAATCGCCAACCCCCACACCACCAGACTGTTCCTTACGGAGCACATGTTTTTAGAAGAAAAATTGGAGAATTTTATGTAAATATAGTTATTTCAATATTTTTTTAATTACTACAACTGTTATAAAATATATAACAAAATATGAAAATACTACTACTAATAATAATATATAATAATATAGATATTGTAATATGTGTATGGATATATATATGTATTTAGAGAGATAAAGTAGAAGGGAGAAAAAGTGTGTATATATAATATAGAGAGAGAGTGAGAGAGACGATAGAGAGTGAGGGAGTAAAAGAGAGTAAACTAGTTTAATGCCAAATCTAATAATTCATTTGGTCTGATCGAATCTACTAAATTTTGGTTTGATCGAATCTGCTGCACATTTATTTCACCATTTTTTCTGGAGATAATGAGTAAAGAAAAATTTCGGTGAAATATGTTTCGTTCTATTTCCCTTGATATATCATTCATTCAGTTGCGCTATACAAGCTACATTATCTTCGTACGAAATAGTATGAGGATTATCATTTTCATATTTCAAACCACAATTCTGTAAAATGTGGTGAATCATTGATCTTAGCCAAACACACTCTCCAATGGCCTCATGAATTGCTATTATTTCTGCATGATTTGAAGATGTGGCGGTTAATGTTTGTTTAGTGGATCTTCAAGATACCGCTATACCGCCACAAGTAAACATATAGTCAGTCTGAAACTTGACTTTATGCGGGTCAGAAAGATACCTAGCATCTGCATATCCAATCAATTAATGTCGAGATCCTTTTGGATATAATAGACCAAGATCAATAGATCCTTGGAGATAACGAAAAATATGTTTGATTCCTTTCCAATGTCGTTGTGTTGGCATTGCACTAAATCTGGCCAATAAATTTACAGTAAATGCTATATCTGGTCTAGTACTGTTAGCTAGATACATTAGTGCACCAATAACACTTAAATATGGTACTTCAGGACCAAATGCTTCCTCATTCTTCTCTTTTGGTCTAAAATGATCTTTAATAGGATCGAGAGTTCCTCATTAGGGGTTCCAATTAAATTTAAGTCATTCACACAAACAACTATTATCACAAAATTTCTCTCATATTTCTTTATAAAAACACACGGACAAGTAGAATCATTGGCATATCTCTCTTTCAATAATGATTCAATGAGATGATTATACCACATGCGACCAGATTGTTTGAGCCCATACAAAGACTTTTTTAATTTAATAGAATAACATTCTTTTGGCTTTGATTTGTATGCATCATGCATACTAAATTCTTCAGGAATTTTCATGTAAATATCACTATCCAATGAGCCATATAAATATGCAGTTACAACGTCCATCAGACGCATATCCAAATTTTCATGTACTGTCAAACTGACAAGATATCGAAATGTTATTACATTCATTACTAGAGAATATGTTTCATTAAAATCAAATCCAGGTCTTTGTGAAAAACCTTGGGCAACAAGTCTTGCTTTATATCTGACAATTTCATTATTCTCATTTCACTTTCGAACAAATACCCATTTATAGCCAACAGGCTTAACACCTTCAGGTGTTTGAACAATGAGTCCAAAAACTTTCCGTTTTGCCAGTGAATTTAATTCAGACTGGATCGCATCTTTCCATTTTGGCCAATCTATTATTTTCCGACATTCATCAACTGATCTAGGTTATGGATCATCGTCATTTTCCATTAGATCAAATGCTACATTATATGCAAAAGCATTATCCATAATTGTATCATTTCGGTTCCAATGCTTTCCAGTAGTAACATAATTTATTCAATTTTCAATAATTTTATTCTCTTCAGGAGAAATTCTATTAGGATTAACATCCTCATCAAGTTTATTATGATCAATTTCTTTATTTGTTCCTCTTTTCTTTCGAGGATTTTTATCTTTGGAACCTACAGGTCTGCCACACTTTAGGCGTTCATTTGATTCATTAGCACTTTGTATTTTGTCTCAAGGAATAACAATTTTAGCAAGTACATTTTCAGCAGCTATATAAGATCTAGTGACCCTGCTGGCGTCACAAAAAGCATCAGGCAACTGATTTGCTATTCGCTGCAAATATAAAATTCTTTGCACCTCTAATTCACTTTGACTTGTACGAGGATCAAGAAAACTGAATGGTATTTTCCAAGTAATTTTCTTTTTCAGTTGATCAGTTTCTCCCCCTAATGTCGGGAAATGTTACTTGTAAAAATGACAATCAGCAAAATGAGTCGTAAACGACCAGTTAATGGTTCAAAATATTTAATATTAGATGGTGATTCGTACCCGACATATATCCCCAATCTCCGTTGGGGGCCCATTTTTGTACGTTGGGCAGTGCAATTGACACATAAACTGCGCACCCAAAAGTTCTCAATGTGAAATATTGGGCTTTTCATTATACACTAATTGTACCGGGAAGTAGCTATTATAACTTGTTTGTCTTAATTTTATCAGTGTTGCTGCATGTATAATTGCATATCCTCAAACAAATATGGGAAGCTTACATTTCATCAATATAGGGCTTGCAATTAATTGCAACCTTTTTATAAGTGATTCAACTAGACCATTTTGAGTATGTACATGAGGTACAGGATGTTCAATGTCAATTCCTGTAACACCCCCAGTTGGCTCATACTGGAAATGCTACCGCCACACTGCATCATGAGGTCGTCACCTCCTACTTCAGGCCCCACAACACAGTGTTAAGGCTAAAATTAATTATATAAGCATTTTATTATTCCCAAAAAAATAGTTTATAAATATTTACAAAAACATACTCCCAAAACGGGAGGTTTTTCTAGTTAGAATTTACATATAATACATCAGATGCAGTTCACTCATTCAGCCCGTCTTTCTATCTCCCGAGACGTCCCCTGTCCCGGAGGTGCCATGCGTACCTGAATCAAATATTTTTCTTAAAAGCAGTCTAGAATTAAATCCATTTTAAGAACTAACATAAAATATGCCATGTCATGCTCGAAAATAGAGTTTAATTTCCGTCATTTGCAAAATAAATGCCATGCCATGCCCATACTGAAATAATGTAACAATAATGTCAAAATCGACAACTCATGCACATATACCCATATACATATGTCAAAGTGAGCAACCGGAATAACCTCGGCTCCATAATAACGGCTCACTAGACTATCATCAATAAATAGCCGGAAAATCCTCGGCTCAAGGAAGGACCTGGTAAACCCATAATAATATAACGGTCACCCGGTCACTTCCATATACCCACCATACGACTCCCGCAATCAATACATGGATAGCCGAGCGTTGTCGCCATTAACCACAAGACACCCCATAGTCTGTGATAGCGAAGATAGGACCCTCCTGTCTAGCCCTACCCCGTGTAACGTAGTAGAATCCGTGCAACCTGGAATCACCCGAAGGAAACCCGGAAACTCTACTCCTCCTCGCACGCCCTAACGGGATCGCGTTTGGAGTTTGGCATCTGATCCTAAACTACCGGTAGACCTCACTAGTAGCTACTCCAATGAGTGGAACAACACCGAACACGAATGATTAGACCAAATACGTCTCAACTGCAATGGGTCTAATCCCTGAATGACCGTGCGACTAAGTCACCCAGTTGTCCGACTACTATCGTCCACTATCGCCAAAGTGTTACGGTACATCGGGGTCGAATATCCTAACCCCAGATGATGCCCTCGCCTAGCACTACCGCACACGGCGACTAAACGATAGATCCATAAAACATATCCGATAAATCGTGCGATGTGTGCAGCATGTCAATAAGTGAATTTAATGAAAAGGGCTGGTGAGACGGCCCACCTATCCTCCTTTTCATAAATTCACCAACACGATCAAATACGTATATCAAATATCGTAAAACGAAGTTTCACACATGCATATACACACACATATATACATATATAGATGCACTGACCAAATGATTCCACATAATATCATATCAATATCAGAATCAGAATCACATGCAACATAAATACCTAATTTCTTAAAATTAGATTTAATTCCCTACTGCTTACCTCCTACCGATACTTTCTGGATTTTATAACTTCACCCAAATCTCCTCCAACGTACACATGTCCCATTATTTACTCAAATCAGATGAGCCTTATGCTTATTCTCAGGAGCTACCTGCTTATTCAAAAGCTAATTTCTATAATTAACTCGTCGGGCTCCAAACTTTTATATTTAGTAGAATATGATATTCTAGCTATAAAATCCTTCTACCTCATAATATTTATATTGCCCGATTATTAAATAAAAATACGCAAAGGTATGAACAAGCAGGCAGGTGCGATATACTGCCGTTTTCCATTCGGCTCGGATCGATACGAAATTCTCAGAATATAATACTAGGACTACGAATAGGCTATCAGCTAAAAAAATTCGTCGATTAAATAGTCAAATAGCCGGTTATGAATTTTTTAAAGAATTTCTAATTTAATATTCCCAATATTGAAATTCATATTAAAATCCATAATTAAGTTCTACGTATAACAAGGAATACAATACCGAAATCGGAATCAAAATCGGACAGCTAAATCTTTTTCTTCCTTTTTTTATTTTTCTTCTCCTTTCTTCTTCTCCTTCGCGTTTCGTCTTCTGCGTTCCTTCGTTTCGAGGTAAGGTTTGTTTGTTTTTATATATATATATATATAATATATATACACATATATATTATATTATTATTATTATATTATATTATATTATATTATATTATTATTAACATTAACATCTTTATCTTATTTATTTATTTATTATATTATATTATTAAATTATATATTATATTTTATATTTATCCTCATTGATATTATCCGTTTAACAGTCTTTTTAATCATAATCAATATATAAAATAGGAATAAAATTTATTCCACAATATTAATTTCTTGATTCCAAAATATTATAAAAATATTTATTTGCTATAATAATATTATTTTATACATTCCGAAATCGGGGCATTACAATCCACTCCCCTTAAAAAGATTTCGTCCCCGAAATCTAAACTCAAACACATAACAAGGCAACTTAATTAAACAATTGTGGGTATGCTTTGAACATTTCTTGTTCTACTTCCCACGTGGCCTCTTCCACTCCATGTCTGGACCACATTACTTTCACCATACGAATATCTCGATTCCTCATGGTTCGGACCTTTGTGTCCATGATCCACAGAGGCTTTTCTTCATACGAAAGATCTTCATTCAGCTCTATCTCATCTGGAGATAAAATATGAGAAGGATCTGCAACATACCTACGAAGCTGAGATATATGAAACACATTATGGATACGCTCCATAGAATTTGGAAGTGCCAACCGATAGGCCCAATCACCAACTCGATCGACAATTTCATAAGGTCCAACATAACGCGGACTCAATTTTTCTTTAACCCCAAACCTTCTAATACCTTTCATTGGGGATACTTTCAATAAGACAAAATCTCCACTTTGAAATTGACCCTCACGTCGGGCTCTATCGGCATAACTCTTTTGACGATCTTGAGCTGCCTTCATCTTTTCTCTGATAGTTCGAATCTTATTTTTCGATTCCTCAATCATTTCCGGACCCAGTATCAGTCGACCACTCATATCGTCCCAACTCAAAGGAGTTCTGCATTTTCGACCATAAAGAGCTTCAAAAGGAGTCATTCCGATACTTGCTTGATGGCTATTATTATATGAAAATTCCACTAAATCCAAGTGGTCTTCCCAACTCCCTTGAAATTCCATAGCACAAGCTCTTAGCATATCTTCCAGAATACGGATAGTTCTTTCTGACTGACCATCAGTCATAGGATGGAATGCAGTACTCATATGCAACTGAGTACCAAAGGCTTCCTGCAATTTTTGCCAAAATCGAGATTGAAAACGTGGATCACGATCTGATATGATCACCTCAGGAATACCGTGTCGTTTAACCACATAACGAACATATAATTTGGCCAATTTCTGCATACTCCAAGTCATACGTACTGGAATGAACACTGCTGACTTGGTCAATCTGTCTATAATTACCCAAATTGCATCTGTTCCCGACTTTGACCTTGGAAGTCCTGTTACAAAATCCATTGCGATAGAATCCCATTTCCAGAGTGGAACTTCTAAAGGTTGTAGCAACCCCATTGGTCTATGATGTTCTGCTTTTACCTTTTGACAATTTAAACATCGTGCAACAAATTTGGCTACATCCTTCTTCATGCCCTTCCACCAAAAATGTTGACGTAGGTCATGATACATTTTATTTCCCCCCGGATGCACTGAGTATGGTGTATTATGAGCCTCACTCATAATCTGCTCTTTCAAATCATTTCGATCCTTTGGGATACACCACCTCCCGTGAAATCGAAGACTCCCATCTGGAGCAATATTAAAATTTTGAGTCTGACCGTACTGAACTTTCACTGCAAGCTCAACCATTTTATTATCTTCCATTTGAGCCGCTCTAATGCGATCATAAATTTCAGGCTCAACTTGTATCATTTGCAAATATCCCCGAGTCATACCCCGTCCAAGTACCTCAATTTCCATCCGCGCTAAATCTTGGCACAGTTCATCAGCAACCGACATGAAGCCCAAGTTATGCCTTGGTTTTCGACTTAAGGCATCGGCTACAACATTTGCTTTGCCTTCATGATACACAATTTCAAGATCATAATCCTTCACCAATTCTAACCATCTTCTTTGTCTTAAATTCAATTCTTTTTGGGTGAAGATATATTTCAAACTTTGATGGTCAGTAAATATTCTGCAATGGGCTCCATAAAGATAGTGTCTCCAAATCTTCAAAGCAAACACCACTGCTGCCATTTCCAAGTCGTGTGTCGGATAATTCTCTTCGTGAGGTTTTAGTTGTCGTGATGCATAAGCAATAACTCTTTGATTCTGCATTAAGACACATCCCAATCCCTGCTTCGAAGCATCACTATACACTTCAAACTCCTCACCTTCCACTGGTAAAGCCAAAATTGGCGCTGAAGTTAATCGATGTTTCAATTCTAAAAAGGATGACTCACACTCGTGATCCCAGTTAATCTTTGCATCCTTTTTCAGCAAATTAGTTAATGGTTTTGCAACCTTCGAAAAATCAAGAACGAATCGCCGATAATATCCTGCCAAACCCAAAAAGCTTCTTACTTCTGATTGATTGGTAGGTCTTGGCCAATCCATGATTGCCGCCACTTTAGAAGGATCTACTGAGATACCCTTTCCAGAAACAACATGCCCCAAGAAAGCAACCTCCTTCAACCAAAACTCGCATTTGGATAACTTGGCATATAACTTTCTTGCACGCAATATGTTTAATATTACATGCAAATGTTTTGCATGCGTCTTTTTTATCTGGGGAATAGACCAAGATATCGTCAATAAATACCACCACAAACTGATCGAGGTATGGTTGAAAAATTCTATTCATCAACTCCATAAACGCAGCCGGGGCGTTAGTCAACCCAAAGGACATAACCGTGAATTCATAATGCCCGTATCTAGTCCGAAAAGCTGTCTTCGGAATGTCATGCTCTGCAATCCTTAGCTGATGATATCCAGATCTCAAGTCAATCTTTGAGAATATAGTTGCACCTCTCAGTTGATCAAATAGATCATCAATCCTCGGAAGAGGATATTTGTTCTTCACCGTGACTTTGTTCAGTCCACGGTAGTCAATACATAACCTCAAACTTCCATCTTTCTTTTTCACAAATAAAACTGGAGCTCCCCAAGGCGATGTACTAGGCCGAATGTAACCCTTATCTAGCAATTCCTGTAGTTGCAATTTAAGTTCGGCTAGTTCTAAAGGTGCCATCCGGTATGGAGCCCTTGATACTGGCTCAGCACCCGGCACAATATCAATAGTAAAATCCACCTCACGAGCTGGTGGCATACCCGGAATGTCATCAGGAAATACATCAGGAAAATTTCGGACTACAGGAATATCTTGCAATCGCTGCTCCCCTTGCGTCAAATCTCTTACCTCACACAGATATACTGGAAACCCCTTACGAATAAATGATTGAAATGATAGGGATGAAATTACCTTCATAAAAGGTTGTCTGGCAGATCCTGCATAATTCACCAGTTCGCCCATCGCTCCAACCAGCGAAATTGATCTTTTTCGACAATCAAATTGAGCTTGATATGCCACTAACCAATCCATCCCCAATATTACATCGAACTCGGATAGCTTGATGCCCAACAAGTTAGTAACAAAATCAACCCCTTCAATACTAACCGGAATCTGCATATAAAGCTCTCGGCATTCCAGCACTTCTCCTGATGGAAGTAAAACTTCCACTACCACTTCTACTGATGAATTCAGACCCAATCGTCTAACTAGACGCTTAGATATGAACGAGAACGTTGCACCCGAATCGAATAACACAAGAGCAGGAAAACCGCAAACCAGAAATCTACCCGTTAAAACCTCACCTGGATGATAATCAGCTTCTGCTTGGGTAAGAACATTTATTCGTCCACGCTGGTCAGGTCCTCTGCCTGGCTGCCTAGATGACGAACGTGACTGACTTCGTCCCCCTCGCCAAGATGATCCTAATCCTCTCCCTTGTGACTGCGAAGACGGCGGCTGCCATGGCCTAAACCTCGGTTCTGGAAACTCCCTTGCAGTTACCACACTTGGACATAACCTGGCAATGTGACCACTACCACCACATTTAAAACATGTCAATGGAACTTTATCACAACGAGTACCTGGGTGGCTTGTTCCACAACGCCGACAAACAGCCCCCGATTGCTGAGACCTCTCATGACTCGGTTCATTAATCGAAATCCCCTTATACGATGGCCCAGACCTAAACATTTGCCACCATTTCTTTTTACCCTTGGGCTCATCCTCCACTTTAGCTTTTCCCTTATCTCGAACCTGATGTTGATAACCTATTTCCTTCTCACTCTCATTTTGTCTGACTTCCTGCTTCTGATAAAATCGGGCAGCACGCTCGTAAGCCTCATACAATGAACTGATATCCAACACCGCTAAAGCTTCTTGAATTCTGTGTTGCAACCCGTCTACAAAATGGTCAATTCTGTCTCGCTCACAGGAAAAGTAGTCAGGAACATACATCTCCAACTCATTAAACTTCACAAAATAATCCTCA